TTCCTTGATTTAAATTTTATGCCATTCCTACAATAAAGAATAGATGCTTAAATTTTACTTCCAAGACACTTAAGTCGTATTTATTTTATCGGCGGAGCAGAGATACTAACAGGTTCGTTTTGAGAAGACTTTTTACCGTAATTTTAAAAAAGTGATTTTTCAAAGTTCTCAAATTGAAAGATTATAGTTCTATTAATGTTTTCATGATAAAATCTGTTCATATGTGATAACAATTAGGTAAATAGCGATAGTGATAACTTACGCTCTCAATTCACATGTCATACAGGATTACGTACGATCTCTTCTGCAACAGAGGAAATGTAGAAACTGAATGGATTCTCAGGTAACTGTCACCTGATCGACTCTTATTCATGATTAAAATCATCAATTCAGTATTTTTTTTTAATTATTGGTAACATGTATTTACAATGTGGTTGCTCATGGCTGCTCTAAACATGCTAAATTTATAAGTACACGATAGAAGTGAAAGACAGAGGAAATTCGAACAACTGAAAATTCGCCAGCGTCTCTTACTTAGAAAAACACTTTTAAAATCAATAAAAAGTGTTAAAAAATGACTAACTTAGTCACTGCAAATTATCAATCACAGAGACGTTTTAATAAGATTAAGACTGTTTAATTTGTATTCTGTATCCTACTTGTACGAGGTCTGGCTGAAGCTCGAAGTTGGTCAACTTTGACTTGAAATTAAAAACTATTTGCACATGAAATCAAATCTCTAGAAACATTTATTATTAATCATTTCTGAGAACTTACATTACTGCACGGTAATCCAACTTTTTGCAAAAGCACTTTTTATAAGAGCCCACTTTCCACGATTTTTCACCGTTTTTTGATATAACTGCGCATGCGTGGACTCTTTTTTTTTAGTCTTTTCTGGACTGAAATTCTCACGTCCGTTAACGCCGTTTTTGGAGTTCGTCTAGACTGGACGCGCCATTATATAAATATTGAACGGTACCCATCTCTTATCCGCAACTCCTCTCATACTACCAAATAAAATTTATTGATACTTTCACATATTCACAATTAGATAATGTCATTATGCACTTCCTATTGTACTTTTCGATAGGACACTTATTTCGGGTTTTAACTTTTACACTTTCAACATGTTCAAGAGAGCAAAAGATGGACTTTGCCATTATCATGATTATATAACCGTATGGGTCAGGGAGGCGGGGTATCATTTAGTGAGCTCATTGCTCACAGTACCTCTAGTTTTATTTGCAACAGTATACAGGCCTATAAGCCCCCTCCCCCATCTGCAGACTTTTAATTCGAGGGACTTTCACCTCCCATGATATAATACGGATTTTAAAAGTCCAATCGCATATATCCAGTACGGTTCCAATGTTATAAATCTACATCCGGGTGGGTGCAAGATGTTTCGGGACCACGACGCTTCGGGACCTGATAAATACGACGTTTCGGGACTAGCGACAAGACGGTTCGGGACTTGGGTAAAGACGATTCGGGACTTGGGTTAATTTTTTTTCGGGATCTCAACAAATTATTTCATTATGGTGATATAGCATATTATTTTAAGTACACATAGTACGTAATATTTCAAGCTAAATCCGAATTTTAATATTTATAATAAAAATTGTCATAAAGATATACTTTGATGTGTTTTTTTTCCCATAACTACGGAAGCGTATTAGGGCCGCAGCAGTATTTTTTTTTAATTTGTTATAACAAATTAGTAATTTGTTATAACAACTTAGTAATTTGTTATAACAAATTAGTAATTTGTTATAACAAATTGATAATTTGTTTTAACAAAGTATTAATTTGTTTAAACAAATTATTAATTTGTTATATTATATAACTTTGTGAAATCCGGTAATCTGATTGGTCAATACGAAGTACTTATTTTTTAATAACGACCGCTGAAAGCGAATAATGACTCGCACGAGCTGCCTCGTTTTCACTTTCGCTTTAGACAAACATGGAAGTTCGCAAGTTGTAGGTGAGGAAAATTTAAAACATATAGTGAAGAAATCTGAGACTGATAATACAAAACAATACTAAGATATTGGTGAATATTTTTCGGGAATAATTAGCACATACCATTTCATGGTTGAGTTCGACCTTTCCACTCGGCGAGCAGAGTTTTGACGCTGTTTACGCGATTACAGAGACTAAAGAAAATATAGTCATTAAGTCAAGCATGCCATGTAAGATTGTATTTGTTCATAGAAGACATAGGTATTTATATTTTGTCAGTGCATTTCGTCTGCAAGTGTAAACGAGAGCGATTCTCAGTCTGGGGGAGGGGGTACTCTGTGTTATTCGGAGATAGATATCTTGCGTCATTATTATGATATGGGAAATTTATTGCCGAAACAATTTCCTCTGATTAATATTGAATGAATTCTGAAACATTTACATTCAACTTATTTATGGTTAATACTATCTCTGTAAATAATTGGATTATATACATTGCACTAATAAATTTGGGAAATTGTTATTTATATAATATAATAAATATGGACTCAATGCACGGTCAATATGCATTTATAATGACCCAGGATGACAGATATTGACCTCAGATACATGAAGTATATCGACCTCGGGCTAGCGCCCTCGGTCGATATACTACATGTATCTTCGGTCAATATCTGTCATCCTGGGTCATTATAAATGCATACCGACCTACATTGAGTCCATATTTGTATAATAACAAATTATTAATTTGTTATATCAAATTATTAATTTGCTATAACAAATTATTAATTTGTTATAACAAATTGATAATTTGTTATAACAAATTGATAATTTGTTATATCAAATTGATAATTTGTTTTAGCAAATTATTAATTTGTTTAAACAAATTGATAATTTGTTTTAACAAATTGATAATTTGTTATAACAAATTAGTAATTTGTTATAACAAATTACTAATTTGTTTAAACAAATTACTAATTTGTTTTGTTATAACAAATTATCAATTTGTTATAACAAATTATCAATTTGTTATAACAAATTATCAATATGTTTAAACAAATTAACAAATTAATAATTTGTTATAACAAATTGATAATTTGTTATAACAAGTTATTAATTTGTTTAAACAAATTATTAATTTGTTATAACAAATTAAAAAAAATACTGCTGCGGCCCTAATACGCTTCCGTACATAACAGACGAATAAGAATAAATCTTTACAAATTTCATTTTTATTTCTAAAAAACTTATCAAATTTTTTATTAGTCATTTTTTCTTGTGTGTGTGGTAAAGGGGTGGGGGTCCAAACTTTAAGCTTCTCGGGTTGATGATATATATTTTAAAAATATTAAAGTGATTTCCAGCTACCGTTTTATATCTTAAAAAAAATATGTCAGTAAATTGTTAAAACAACTAGGGTCAGGTGTTGGTGTTACGTACATGTATAAAAACGCCGCCGGTAATGGCAACTAAAAAGATTGTATGGTTTCTTTTGAAATTATTTTAAGAAAATAACATTTTAAAAATATGGAAAAAATATCGTTTGTTTTTTGGTTATATGAAATAATTCAGAATCAAACAATATTCAAATTAAACAAATAGTAATGATTTTCCCGTCATCAAAAGTTCAACAAAATATAAAGGTTTTCAATATGTTTTGAACTTGATTTTGTCTACTTTTTTCCAAACGGTTTCAAATATTTTTTTATAAAAAAAATGTTTCCAAAACATTGTCAACGATCATAGGCAGTTATGCTTGCTGTCCAATCCATTTGTATGAATAAATATATTTTAAACTAAACAGTGTAAATAAACATATTTTACAAATGTTGCGAGAACATTTTCCCTAGATATAAAAAAAAATACTATACTTTAAAAAGCATTAAATGGTATAAACACCATGATTTCATTTGATATCGTTTCAAATAATGTCTTTAAAAACATTTTAAATTTCATCATAGCTTTATCTATTTAATATGGTTAGGTGGAAATTTCAAATTTAAGTTGACCTGTTAACGTATTCATTTTTTTTTTAAATCTGGAATGTCTTTTAAATACTTTTACAACGTACAAGTATCATGAAAAATTTAATATTTGCAAATTAAATAATATTTAGTATTTATTTACAATATCATTAACAGTGTGTCATGTGCCTAATTATGTAACACCACATAATATTACGCACTGGTCGGGTATCTACATCGATAATTGAGTTTCATTGAGATTTGTAGTCTGTGTATACACAGTAAACATAAATTCAGACGTATCCATATCATTGTAGACAAATTAACAATTTTGAAGGTACAATAATATATAGCGGAAATATTTGGGACTTTCGGGGGATTAATTTTTTAAAAATAATAATTATAAATTCTATAAATTGACATTTAAAAAAGTGAACATGGAATATTTCAGATTCTGATTCAAAACAACTACCCGTAAAAACGTTAAGTTGTTACTCCTCGTGTGCTAGCTAGAGCCTTTGTAAATTTTGTAAACAAATATGAAATGAAATACCTAAAATTATTATTAAAAAAGGAGAGAAAGAAAGTCTTAGAAAGAAAAACACGATGTCCGTGGTCTTCACACAGCAGTTACGACTTTATTCTACAAACTCTCGTATCAAACACTATAAATAAATCAAATACATATTTTAAAAAAATTTTGGCCAATTGTTAACCAAATACTTTAATTACAAAGGTAATATATCAAATACTGAAATAAGAAATTAAAGAGACAACACCGCGGGCGTTTGATTTTCTCGGCAGGCGTGCTCCATGTCGTATGCAAACTTTAAAACTAATAAAAACTCCAATCTGTGCTTTTTAAATTATAATTTGTGTATCAAACTAAGAAATTATACATGTATAAATTTAAAAACACAAGTAAACAAGTTTAATTTCATTTCCTTAACAAAATATTTAGAAGTCCCGAAACGTGTTAGCTCAAGCCCCGAAACGTTTTTTCAGGTCCCGAAACGTCGGGGTCCCGAAACGTCGCGGTCCCGAAACATCCATAATTCCATCCGGGTTATTTGGAAATTGGAAGCATGTCGCGAAGGGCGAATGAGGGATCCCTCTTCATAGGTAGACTGAGCAAATCGACGAGAGTTCGAGACCTTGAGGACATTTTTGAACCATATGGCCGAATGACGCGATGTGAAATTAAATATGGTAATACCATTTTTAAAGTTTTATGAATTTAGACTGTGAAATGCCTCCTCGTCCTTCTAGGTCACAGAAACATCAAACATGGCGGCGATACCGTTACGTTGACCTTTTTTCGATAAAGTGACCTAATTTTGCAATGTAACTATGTAGAATCATATTACATTGTGCCATAGGTCTAGATTTCAGAAAAATGCAAGATTCGTTGATCACTTTCTTTTGTTAAGGCGTGATGATTTGCAGAAAAGGTATCCCATTGATTCTTTGCAAGACATCAGCATGATGCTTGACCCACTGCATTATAATTATACGAGTAACGACTGATGTATATTATTATAATACATTTATGCACCTCAAATATTATTAACATGGTTTTGAGATATTAAATTAATTGTTTTAAATCTTTTTACAGGGGCTGAGATGGGTGAGTCCTAAAATTTATGTAAAATTTAAATGTCAAAGGATAAAGTTGCTGAAGTGGCATTGTACTTTTCTTCAATTATACATTCTAATGCAATTGTTTTGTAAAACATGTTTTGATTGGCTAATGCACTATTGTTTGAAGTAGTAAAACGAGTATTAACAAGAATGAAAGCTTTTCATTGTGACTTCATAATAGAGCAATGCTAAAACACAATGCTCCATGACATATTTCATTTAACGAAACTGAACAAAATAAGACATAAACAACAAACAAAATACATGGATTGCAGTCGCAAATACCAAATTAGAAGACAGTTATTCCTTAAGTAATACTTTATTTTAATAACCATATATATAGTGATATAATATTGCCTCTATTACTATAGTTCAATCCACACTTTTCTAAAGTTATGTCCCTTGGCCGCCATCTTAGGGGATAAATCCATAGAATCATCACAGTAGCCTTTGTACTTTTCAGGTTTCTAACTTTGTCATTTGACTGGCAAAATCGTTGCATAGTGTATACTGATTGTCCCATATTGGTGCTACCCACACATCCAAAGAAAACAATTTATACACAGTGGATTCATCATAGCCCGCCCAAATGTTTGGTAGCATAAAGAGGAGAAATGTTGTTTCTTTCCCTTTTGACCTTTTGGCTGACCCCACAAAGGGACACAACTTTTGTAAAGTGTGGATTGGACTATTGCAACCCTAATTCACCATTTTCAAATGAAATAATAATAAAATATACATGTTACAAGTTATCTTCCTTTCTTGGACATTTGATTGCTTTAAAACTAACAAAGTAACATCCAGCTTATATTTATCTGATAATATTGCAAGAATATTTAACACTTTTCAATTATTTCTATAATTTATATGTAACAGTACGCAGCTAGGATAAGGCTGTCCGCAAAGTATCAAACTGTGGAGGCTGCTGTAACTTCTCTGAACTACCTAGATATGACGTCATAATAGAATATGACGTCAAGTTACTGCATACTTGAGCTAACATGACGGGGAAAGTGTCATAATTTGTACATCGCATGTAGTTTTATTTTTGGGTCTTGTTGTTTATGTCAAATGTTAGGATTGTTTTTAAGCTCCAATGTGCTGTTATGAAGTTGAACATATAAAATTTGAATATTCCTACTCCTTTTGCTTGTCCGATATGCACATATTCAAACAATAGAGAAAAATTATGTGTGAAACGCTCCCCTTACACGTCCGTAGACAGAGTTAGAATTTAACAATCGTGTGTATATTGGACTGGCACAAGTGATAAACAAGCATAGATTGAAGATACTCTGTGTGAATCTACAAGAGAAGTATGTCCTCTAACTGAAATATGCTGGGTGATTGTGTGTAGTTCATCCAATTTGTATAAATCGCGATTAAGAGTGGAAAATACCCTTTCTTATGTTGGTTAGTTATATTTTTTGTTCAATTTTTCTAAACGAGTAAATATTGAACCTGCCCCCAACACTTTATATGTACCAGAAATCACGATAAATTTATCTATGTAACAAAATTTGCACAATATTTTTGCTTTGCACTTGTGCCGAAGCGATTTTTGTGCAAAAATTAGAAATACTAGTATCGCAAATCTCCGTCACGTGATCAACACATGCATGTGACATCACAAAAATGCTTTATTTTGATACCTGATTAAAGTATTATGTCACGTTGAATTCAATTTCAAACACGGATTACATATTGAAATTAAAATCTAGCTCAAGATAAAATTCATATTTTTAAGGCATTTTAAGCCTTCGGACAGCCTTATCATAACTGCGCATGGGGCAGATGATGATATGCATGCAACAATTAAGTGTTTCTTGCAGTGTAACTGTTAATATAATTGGCATTAATTAAAACTTGTCACATATTTATTGTGTCTTGCAGCATATGCATTCATTGACTATGAAGATCACAGAGATGCTGAGGTAACTTAGTTAATGTTTTATAAATGTTCATAATTTGAAAAAAAAAAAAGGTAGATAATAATTTCAGAAATATAAAATTTAATCCCACCACAGAGGGCTACTGTTCTTATTATTTAAGGAACTAGACTGGATGGAGCTTTTTTTTTTTTCCATTAGTTAATGGGAGAATGAGAAATAAACAAAAAATGACATTAATGTGAATGTGAAGCATCTTGGGGCTGACTGAAAGAAATAGTTTTTGTGTATTCTAATACATTCCTGGCCATCACTAAAATCATGAGATAAAAAAATCACAGTTAATATGAAAGGCTCACGTAGCAAGTGAATTTTAAATGTCGCTCCACCAGCCATGTTTCTTTGATAAGACAGTGCTATTGGTTCACTGAAAGGAACTGATAACCTTATTGAAAGACTTGAAGATAAAATATAAAATACAATCCCCAGAATTTGGTGTATCAGAAAAATACTGGTACATGTTTTACTTACATTTGTCTAATTCTCTAGGGAAGCAACCTCATGTTTTTGAAGGAAGATTTTTATGTCTACATAAGAGTTGAAAATTTGATCACAAACTGGATAGATTCTTCAGTTAGGAATAATGTGCAGGGTAGCAAAATATACACAAAAAAATTATCAGTATTGTTTGTATAGGTAGAATTTATAGATCATCATTTTTTATGTAAAAGGTTTTTTTCTACAACATGATTTTGAATCGCACAAATAATATATATTTTTGGTGCATATCCTTGCACTATGCAAATCTGCACAACATTCTAGTTTTAAGTATCTTTTCCAAAAGTTCAATTTTTAGTCAGCATGAAAACAAGGTGTGAAAAGTTTTCTATTTAAAATAAAATTATCAGTTAAATTGATGGTTATGATTATATGTATATATTAATTTGAATATTCACAAAAAATTAGAAAATTTAGAAAGATGCGTAAAAATTTAAATTCACTGAATATTGTTTCTTACATGAAATAAATCTTAAGAATTAGTCTCAGTTAAAAATAAAGGTTAATTCATCCAAACTCTGATTTATTAAAGTATTTTTAACTAAGATTTTGTTCAGGAGTGTGAAAAAAATTTATCAGAGTTCTAAACATGGAGTTGAAATATCCTATGTACATCTTGCAGCAAAAGCCACCATGCCCAATCCAATCCATTCCACCATCTTCGTGACCCCATTCCAAACCCGGGTGGCCACGAATCCAATCCCTTCCATCCATGAGTCCAATCATCAAAACTCTGTAAAAACAAAAGCCAAATTCTGAAATTCTGAAAAAATAGCTGCTGTCATGTGCTTCGACAACAAATTCTCTCACTGTCGACCATGACTTGCTGTGACCCAGGGTCCAAATTTTGCCACAGAGCCATTGTAAGCCAAACCATGTTGCCAATTTAACCAATTGCCATTGTAACCATTCTATACCACAACTGACTACAGAGTTCAAGGGTATACTGTCAAAGTTAATAACCATCTGCTTATTATTTTGTTTTCATGTCAATTTTCTGGTACATGTTTGCATGTTTATTATGTACAGTGATGAGCAGGTATAATATTTTACTTTTCTCTTGGTATTTGTCCTCGTCTTTATGTTTGAAGCATATCTGCTTAAACATGCTTTAAAATTTTTTGTAAAGTGTAAAATTAAAACTGTGTACTTGTCTGTTGTTTTTTCCTGATAAACATATTTTTTAAGATAGTTTAATGTGAAGACTTTGTTTTGTTTTTAATCAGGATGCAGTTCGGTATGAGAATGGCAGAGAGATCTGTGGGTCCAGTATTATAGTAGAGAGAGCCAAAGGAGCCCCAAGGAGGTCATTGGCCCCAAGAGTAGGTCCACTTTTGTATTTAAAAAAAAACACACTGGAATTACTGTGAAAACACTAATTTTCGGGTGGGTGGGTTAATTTTTGTTGTTTTCAAGGTATGAGGAGACCCACAAATTTATGACTACAAAAGAAAGGAATTTTTCTCATATAATACATGTACTACTGAAAAATTCTTTAACCACAGAATCAAATCCCCATGAACCAATATATTTTTCTCATACCACAAAAATTTGACCCCTTGAAAATATGTGATTTAACAGTATAAAACTGAAAAAAGGAATGTTTTCTCAAAGGCCTAAGTATTTAATGATTCAGTGTTTTACTTTAACTGTATGTTTTTAAAACTGCAAAAAAGGTGATCGAAATGAAATATATCAACTTTGTTTTAATGGTGATGGTAAGATGACTCTTGTGTGTGTTACAGAGTTCTGGCTATGATGACAGCTACAGGTCTGGACGAGGCTCTCGAGACTACCCTGACAGATATGACAGAAGAGGTGGGCCAAGAGGAGGAAGATACAGGTCACCCTCACCACGACGTAGGAGGCAAGTCTACCATAGAATTTAATTTACATGACAAAACAACACATCTTGGCAACTTCAATAATCTGGATTGTTTCGATAAAAATAAAATGAAATATTTTGGGCATCAGTTGGGACATCATCGGAAACCCACGATTGATCTCGTCTTTACTTATTACCCGTGGGCAAATTTGCTGAAATATCGCCGTAAAGTATGCTAATTTGTTGTTTTTAGTAATCAATCAGAAAGTTGGAACTCTTCAATTTTGAAAAGTACTTTTATTACTTTGCTATTTATGGTAAATATTTTGACGCTTGTTAAAACGTGCAAAGTTTGATGTAAGACAATGAAAGTCAATTCGTACAGGTCACTGACATTAAAATCCATCAGATGTGTATACATGAGTACCTCTTCCTAACTGCAAAATGCACCGGTGAGTGGATGTATCAGCTGTGTTAACTACGGAATGAGTTTTTCATGTTTTTGGCAACGCCGAACATGCATATGTAACGTGAACTGGGATTCGTTGTTTTGGCTTCGCGATCCTGTGGTGCGGCCAATCAAATGATCCATGCATATTTAATTACATAAGACGATTTTTCAGCGAGTTTGTCCACAGGTGATAAGTAAAGACGAGATCACCCATGTGTTTCCAACGATGCAGTCAGGAATGACAAAAAAGATGCATAATGAGAACATTTTTTTAACATTTAGGTCCAGATCTCGATCTCGAGACAGAAGGAGACGCAGCCGAAGTAGATCTCACAGCCGACAGCGACGAAGGAGGTCAAGCTCTGTCAGCCCACGGCGATCCAGCAAACGATCAAGATCTAGGTCACCAAGCAAGTCAAGAAGTAGGTCACCACAGAGTAAATCGGGGAGTGGATCTCCACCAAGAAATGGGCAGCAGACCGACAAATCTCCATCAAGGAGTCCTGCTAACTGAATCAAATTTCATTTTATCATCATT